CAGATGTTCCAGCTTGCAATTTGGCATCAATCTTGGACCAAGTCAAACTCTTCAGATCCAAAACCTGCGGTTGGCACAAATTGTGGCAAAGAAAAACAAGAAGCATTGAGTCGGTGTTACTTAATTCTGTAGAAAAACCTATCGTTGTTCCCATGCATTGTTACAACATACTCAATTGAACAATAATAACAATCTAAGAGCATAAGGATTATTTGCATAAAGAAGCAAAGATGACTGGAATTGTTACAGGGCATGCTTCAGCACCGCACGAATTTTATGTAAGATCATTTAGCTTAGGAATTATGAATAAAAATGAATCACTAATTCTGAGAGCAGTGTGTACAGACAAAAACAATTGGTTGATGATGATTTGGTGACAAATATGCAACAAAATTTGTTCGTATGCCTCCATGTCCAAGCTAACAAAAAATTAGAATGCATACATATGACATGCTGCATTATCACAGTTAGCTTCACAAACCTGAAGGTCACTAAGATAACGGCCATTGTGGTTTCCACCAAATATATACATTTTGTCTTGTAGAACAGTTGCTCCATGCTGCAGCAGCCAAAATTCACATCAATGCTACAAAAGTAAATATAGCAAACAGAAACAAAAGATAGGGTAATAACCCTACAAGTTTGAAAATAAAAAGGCAAGGGAACACATGGCTCACCTCATAGCGGGGTTTAGGCCGCTGGCCGCTAACAGACAATGCAGTCCATTCCTCGTGAGCACTGACAGTACTAAGACCTTCCAGAATAACAACTTTATCTTGTGTCTCCACTGAACTTCCGTTTTCAGAAATGGTTTTTGGAATTGATGATGTTCCAGTTCCATTTGTCAAAGGTACGATGTCCGGCTCTTCCTTTGGTTTCTTGTAAAACGAAATACAGATAATTTATTTAATAAACCAACAAGTTCAAGGATATAAGGTGGATTCTGAATACTCAGGCAAACAACAGAGAAGAAATATATACTTGGGATATATCATATATGTACCCAAGTACGTTATCTGATGTGACTTACATGCATTTCAATATCTACTACAGGCTGAGGGTTGATGAACTCAGGGATTCTAGAGTACCATCCAGGATCTTCCTCCTGCCACCATAACATCAATGTGTCAATACAACACTACCGCAGGCGCAACACACTGAAGAGCAACGCGTAACTCGCTATACCTCCAGTATTTTGACAAAGAGACGCATCGCCTCCGCGGACGGCATGCTTCCAAGCCCATGCCAGCTGAAAACACAAAGGGTATGACTAAGCAAGCAGCAGCGATTCAAGCGTGCGCGCATGGCAATTGCTAAATTGGTGTTCACTGGGCATGTCGCTGGTCTCACGCGTTCTAGCATCTATCTATATTATGGATTGATAATTGTTCCAAAATGCCAAACTACGAAACTAGCGAGGAGTTGCGGCATATATAGGAAAATTGCATCTAGGTAGGGGTTGCGGCCTTTGCAGCGGCATGTGGTAAGCTCGATGGAATCCGGGGGTCACCAACCTCGTCCATTTGCTCTGCTCCACGGGGCTCCACGCCCTGGGCTTGGGCACGTTGCAGGGCCCGACCGTCGCCTGCGCCGAAACGAAAACCACGAGGTCAGTCAGCACCAAACCGAATTCCCGATCCCTGATCCCCGCCATTTCGGCGGGCCGGGCCTAGGTCGTCACCTGCTGGTGGAGGCCGTAGAGGAGGAGGGCGACGTCGTTCTGGAAGCGGGAGATGGCGGCGGCGGAGGGGGCGCCGGCGCCGCCGAAGCCGGCGTATGCCGCGGCGGCGTAGAAGCGGTCGGGGTAGGCGATGCCGGAGCTGGCCATGGCCCTGCTGGATCTCCCTCCGTCGTCGAGATCTCCCGCCGACCGTCGCGCCGGCGCCGGCTGCGGCTGGAGGCGGG